ATTTGGTTGAACCTTTCGTTATCTCGTATCATTATCGAGGATCTTTCCTGGAACATTTACGTATCATAATAAGAAATATCACGAAGACAGGAATTGGTTATCTAATCCCTTGATAACTAATTTAAAAAAACGACACGCGTAATCACATATTGGAATTAGCTTTTAATATTTAATACTTTTAATATTTAAATTTAGTTTTTATTAACTTTAAGTATAGTTAGTAGAACATTTATTGAATTGTAAATTATGGGGCATTTAATAAATTTCACTTTTTATTCGTTCACACATTGACGACTTATGAGGAAATGAGCGAAATCATAATTATAAGTTTACTTTCATTTATTTATTTTGCTTATTTTTTTGATTAAAAGAAAAAGAATTTTGTTTTTTTTTTTTATTATTCAAAAAAAAATGTTTTTCCATTTTTTTATTTTTATTTTTTTTTTTTATTTAAGATAACGATAATAATGTATTATTGTTCAATTTAAATATTTATTATGTCATTGTTTGATTACATTATGTTCATTTATGCTGAAATCACAATTATATATAATATATATATATATATATATATATATATATATATCATTAGTTATTATTCTATACTATTATTCTATACTATTTCTTATAAGAATAAATGCAGTTAGGCCACTTTCAAACTACACGGTTCAATTATTGAACTAACTCTGAAAACTTATGTGTCAAGAATTATCGTATTTGCTCGGAATATAAACAATTTAAAATGCTTTACTGATAAATAACATAAAGTTGTACATGTAATTATGGCAATCGGAAAAAATTGACAAATGGAGTTAGACCACTTTCAAAATAAACGGCTCATATTATTAGTTTTTCATTTTGAATGATAAATTTATCATTGCATATAGAGCGATTAGGTGATTTTATTTTTAGAAAAAAAAAAAAAAAAAAAAAAAAAAAAAAAAAAAAAAAAAAAAAAAAAAAAAAATTGACGAATAATATAACGATAAAAAAAAATTGTAAACGTATCTCGAATTTTTTCATTTTTTTCCTTTTATTCCTTTAAAAATAAATGCAATGAGGAAATACAGTACGTATATGCACGTAGATATTTATATATCCTGCATAGGATATTTATATTTATATAAGTTACAAAATTAAATATTCTGATCTTGATATAAAGACAGGAAACATTCTGATCGCATTGGATATATTTAAAAAGAGAAGAGAGAAAAGAAAAAAAAGTAAAAAAATAAAAAAAAATAAAAAAAAAACAAAAAAAAACAAAAAAAAAACAAAAAAAAGAAAAAGCATCCACTAAACGATAAATAAGGACATCTTTATGACAATTCCAGCACATATATATTAAAGTTGATAGAGGAAAGGATCACGAATATCCGTTTCATCTGATCTAGCAACACCCTCATTTTACCGTCCACTTCGATCGATATAAATACGTACCTATATCGTAAGCCCCGGACAACATTTAATAATCACCAAGGCAACATTCTTTATGTCGTAACTAATGAGTTTGGCATCGTTCGAATGGCTCATTAATTGTACGGTATATTAACTTAATTAAAAAGATAGACGAGTCAATGTATTCTTAAAAACAACAATCTAATTAACTACCTAGAGTCCGACAACATGGACTATCTTTGATCTCAATGATCGAAGAGTGTTTAATGTCTAATTGTTCCTTCGTTTTCTTTCGTTTTTTTCCTTCTCCTTTTTCTTCCTTCTTTTTTCTTTCTTTTTCTGTTTTTTTTTTTTTATTTTTTCTTTTTTTCTTTTTTTTGTTTCTTTCTCTCGTTTTACTTTTTCAAATAAAGCTAAGACATGTATATCTAAAGGTTGCCTTGAAAGTATAATGGCTAGTAAAATTCGTCAAACATACTATTCAGCTATTTACTTCGAGACATCCTCGTAATCATCATCATCATCATCATCATCATCATCATCGTCATCATCATCATCATCATCATTCAGGAAGGGTACGTAATAACGATGAAGACAAAAGGGTGAACGAGAGTCCTTGGTAATCTTTTGTAAACCAGGCAAGTTTCCAAAGAAGCGATCGTCTTTGTCGCTAGGTGCAGCACCAGACCAATTTGCATTGTCAACCTGCGGGCACTTAGCCAAAGGAAATTGCTAATGCCGTGGCACGGCCAATAGCCGTTTACCATACCCCTTCCTCCAACCCCCTTACTTTACCCAAGCTCTCCTCAAAACGTTCCTCTCTCACCCTCCTTTTAGTCTTCCTCATTTGCCTCGTCTACCTCGCCGATCGTTTTATTCCAGTTTAAGGCATCAACTCGGTAATTTTATAACGTCGTAAATAAGACGCGCTTGTATTGAGTTACGTGTCGACTTGTCTCTATCTCTTTTTCTCTTTTATTTTTTTTTTTTATCTCTCTCTCTCTTTCTCTGTCTTCTTCTTTCACTATTTTCCCCTCTTATACTTTTCTCGTAGTGACGCAGTGACGCACATAAGTAAGTAAGTACCTTTACCTACGAAGGCTTCCAGTGCAAAAAAAAAAAAAAAAAAAAAAAAAAAAAAAAAAAAAAAAAAAATAAATAAAAGGAAAAAAGAAAAAAGGGTAGAATCGACTTTCTTTCCTTCACCATTCTTTTTCCTTCTTTCTTTCTTTTCTTTTCTTTTCTTTTCTTTTCTTTTCTTTTTTCCTTTTTTTCTTCTTCTATCTTAGCACGTCCACTATATTCTACCAATGCATTATTTAATTTATTCCCAGATAAGGTGTATACCTGAATGTAAATCTGATAATTTTGATTTTATTTATTAACGTATTGAAATGTTAAATTGAAATAAATAGAATATAATTTGCAATTGAAATCCTTAGGTATGTAAATCGATTCGATACTTTCCATCTTGTCGATATTTATTTTATTGTAATAACGTAAAATGTAGAATATTTTTTTTTTTTTTATTATATAAAGAACTAGTGACACGATAAATTTGTTTGTTTCCTTTTTTTTTCTATTTCTTTTTCTTTCTCTTTTTTTCTTTTCCTTTTTCTTAACTCTTAAACGAAATATAATACCAACGTGAAAGTTAAAATAAAACGAATGAGTAATAAACTCGCGTATATAATTATTCGGGAAACCTGAATGTATATAAGATTATCGTACACATTCGAATTACTATAAATTTCTGCAAAGTTTCTCTGTCATCGTCGTTGTCGTTATCATTGTCATCATTGTTGTCGTCGTCTCGCGTTACTCACAAGTTTCAAAGAAACGCATAAGTACTTTTAGTTGCTATACGAAAAATACAAAATATTTCTGGATCCGTTAACACGTCTCAGATAATATCTGTTGGGATAAAGGTTCGATCAGATTCGTCGAATATTATGTATATAAATTTTCATTCTTTTAAACTTTTCTCAAAGTCTCGAGTCAACTATCGAAAAGAACATTACATATATACAATGACGATCTCAATATTTACGTGATATTATCGTTCTCAGAAAATGTAACTCTTGGTTTTGTCACCTTATCGCAAATTATATCGAAAGTTTTCAATATACATCTATTTACTTATCTATGTATTTGTACGTGTACATTTGTATATGGGTATCTCTAGGTCCACCAATAGGATATTCCATCTATTACGAAAGTTCTATGACCACACGATTTTTTTCTCATTGTTCGAGAACGTCCCGCCATGTGAAAATAGATAGATATTTTTACTTACCTATTCATGTATCTACCAACCACCTCTATCTACATCTATGTGTCTACTATCGTTGAGAAACAGGATCTTAGCTCGATCTCGTCTCGAAACGACATTCCAATTTTTTAGAATTTTTAAACACAACAAATTGTGTATGTGTGTGTGTGTGAGAGAGAGAGAGAGAGAGAGAGAGAGACGAGACGAGACGAGACAAGACGATTATATATAAATAGATAAGTTCTGATATCTATGCTAAAGAAAATAGTATATATGCGAATAAAATGTTTTGATTTTAATAAAAAGAATCGATCGTATACTCGGAACGAATTGATTTTCTGTTTTTTTTTCTCTTCTCCTTCCTTGAACTGAAGTCATTGTCTCTATCTTTCTCTCTTTGTTTTTCATATTAGTAGTTCATAAGAACGATTCAAGTTGGAAGACGTGTTAAGTTATCGGGGACATATGCGCGTGTCATGATCGTGAAGTCAAGTTGGAGTCTCTTGTCGGACGATATACAATGAGAGAAAGAAAAGAAAAGAGAAGAAACAAGGGAAAAAAAAAAAGAAAAGAAAAAAGATTCCTTGAGGCGATAAATTCCTAAGGTTCCGAGTCGTAAAGGGGAATCGATGGGACGCTATCACCGGTTATAAAATACCTAGAGCAATCGTCCGATATCTACGATACGTATGTATGTATGTATGTACGTACGTATGTACATACGTGGGTATATCCATCTCGAAAGAGTTAACAGCCAAGTAAATAGCATAATCGTGCTGATAACTGAGCTCTCTTTTTTGCGTATGAAATAATAATCAATTAACTCTCGGCGATATCGCTTATGCAGTATGCACTTGTGAAAGATTGATCTTACAAAAAAGAAAAAAAAAGGAAAAGTAAAAGAGAAGAAAAATAAGAAAAGGAAAACAGGGGGAAAGAAATGGAAATAACGAGAACGAGAACAAGTAAAAAATGAATACGAAGTTAACGAAGCGAAAGTGCGAAGAAACGATGGCGACTTTTGATTCCGTGCTCGTCGAGAACTCCCCAAGAGGTCAATGACACGAGCTTCAAGGAGGCCGGATAATATGGAAAGGGAAGGCACTCGTCTATGTAATACATATACAGATACGTAGTGTAAGTGCGTGTGTATTCATTCGTTGCGATACTACTACTGAGTAAGAATGTATATAACGAAATCCTTTCGAACGAATGAAATCTAGAGTAAGTAAATACTTATTTACTTACTCAATTCGCAATTTGATCGATTGTATTGCAGTAAAAAATTCGACAAAAATTTTTCATACCATTTTTGATCGATTTTTCCTAGGTAATTTTTTTTCCCCCATCTACCTTTACTGGGAAACGCCTAGAGGCCCTAGTGACAGTGTTCTAAGCGCTAGAGACATCTATCGTTCGAAGCCGAAAGGTAGAAGTTTGAGGAACGCCCGGTAGAGCGCATGATCGACCCTTTTCCAGATGGCCGCCGCTAAAGATTCTCCGATTGGTCGATTCGACGGCGGCCATCATGAATTCCGAGCATAAACGACATAATGAGGCCCGTGATGGCCGACTCGGCCGCCAATGACGTCATGGGGGTGGCACTCGACGAAAAAAAAAAGAACCAGGGAATTCGAAAAATGGCGTCCTGCACGGTGCAGCTTATAAGTACCTAAAGCGTATAGTAAGTATTTACCATATAATGTGCATCGTATTTCGCACCTATGTACATACGTACATACATATATATATATACATATACACGATGTGAGCTCGATACGTGTTCCATCGCAAGCAAAAGGAGAATTTCTAAAAAAAAAAAAAAAAAAACAAAAAAAAAAATTCGTTTTCATTGCTTCCACCTTGAAAGCTAAAGGATTAGTTTTTTTTTTAATGACAGATATAATATCAAAATGAATGATAGACGATTGCATTCTGTGCGAATATCTTATTTCATTCTATTTCTGAATCTTTCTAAGAGAATCGAAGCGACTAGGAAATTCCGTCTTATTCCGTGAGAGCCTCAACCAAGAAATATTAAATCTGACACCCTTTGGATTGGCATGTAACTCAAAGGGCAATAAACCTAGTGACTTTGCGAACGATATAGACAGACAACGACCTCGATGGGAAGAGAGAAAGGGAGAAAGATAGATATATACATATAGAAAGAGAGACAGCGAGAGAGAGAGAGAGAGAGAGAGAGAGAGAGAGAGAGAAAGAGACAAACAGACAGAGACAGAGGGGTATGTCGAAGGACCGTGCGTAAAAACTTTTATGATCACAGTCAATAAAGTGACGTAACTTAAGTGGTCTACGAACGAACGACGGCAGAGTCGGTGACGTCAGAAAAAGAGTACGGAAGTCGCGCGTAAATGCCACGTGAAGCTCGATGGATGGTCGGCAAGGGGTTGTCGGGAAGGAAGGAGACAGCGGAGGATGGAGGGTGGTGGAGAAAGCGGTCGTTGTCGCGGGTAAGAGACTCCGACACTTCAGGAAGCAGAGACGAGGAGGGAAGTACCGAACTCGAGGAAATGCGTGAATGAGAGAAGGAGAAAGAAAGAAAGAAAGTGCCAGAGAGAGAGAGAGAGAGAGAGAGACAGTGAGATAGACAGAAAGAATAAGAGAGAGAGAGAGAGAGAGAGAGAGAGAGAGAGAGAGAGAGAGAGAGAGAGAGAGAGAGAGAGCTGGTTGATGGTTTACGACATTCCGTTGATGGCCGTAGTGGCGTAGTTGTGCCGTCGAGCCCATAAAAATGTAACGAGCCTGTAAACGTTCGTTTATATTGCCTTGCCTTTACGCCCATCCGGATTGGGGCAGGTCGGGAAGTCGAGTGGTACCGTGTGTGACGTCACGTAAGAAGACAGACGTGCGACCCCGCGTGGCCCGCTATGATTTGTCTACCACCCCCTCCCTCCTCGCCACCTCACCTTACCTCCCACCCCCGCCCCTCCCCCAACCTCTTTCCCTACGCTCGAGGGCCTACTACCTAACTGTTTTTCTACGCGGACCGCCACGTAGGTATAATAGCATCGTAGACTCGTTTTAGAGCCGATAAACGCGCGACACACCGCAGACTGCCTGTCTCTTCTTTGCATTACGTCGACGGCCCCCGACTCTCGTCGTTGCCGTTGCCGTTGCTCTGCTTATGATGCTTCTGTTATTGCTCGAGTCTTACACATCCGGCGACCTTGAAACGTCGCTCGTAATCCTCGCCAACGCGAATGTAATAAAAGAATACCTTTAACGAATACGTATTAGCTTTAGACGTGTATCCGTTACGATATCTTATTAATATTTCAAAGGAAATACTATTCTCTTTCGGTCAATGTAACTCACAAATATATAGTATTTACTTTATTATTATAGTATTTATTGTTATTCTATTGTCTCGTTCATAGAAATTTGTCGAACTATTAATCGTTCCGTTCATCAAGATAAGAAATTATTATCTACTGTATAATTATTGTATTAGATTTTTTTTTTCTCATCGTATGAAGAAACAAAATGAGATAACTGTTTACCGTTCGATACTCTTAAACGTTACAATACGGTATTTTACATCAATTTTCTACGATTCAACCTAATTTCTTCCATTGTCTCAACGAATTCGGCGCCATCCTCCATTAACCGGATTACACTCGAGAGCTCGTAAAGATCTTCGAACGGGGACGACCGACTTTCTCACGAGTATATCTCTACTTTTAGCTAACCGAACGACCTTGACATCGATTCACATTCGCGTCCATGACAAACGGAGAGGAACGTGACGCCTGTATACTTCGACCATGTTTGTGTGTCCTATGTGTATGTACTATGCATACATATAAATACACACACACACATATATATACACATAGAGAGGAATGATCGTTGCTTGACGTTGTTGTTGGCTCGTTGAGAGGATAGCGCGCTTCGCGAAGCGCAAAGGTCGGGGATACTCTGCAACCCGTTTCGGTAACGCGTAAAACTTTATAGGCGACCATAAAGACGGACGTTTAGCTTTATTTGGGCAGTGTAAGAGGGAGAGACCGTTCTTAGCTGTCAAACGCATGAGTTCGAGGGAACCTAACGGGAGAGAGAATCTCTGAGGCCTATGAACCGAGCGACGGCCGACGCTTTAGGCTTTTATCCGAAGGAACAAGAAATTCGGTAAGAGGCTACGTTGAATATTTCTTTTTTTTTTCCTTTTTTACTTTTTTTTTTTTTTTTTTTTTTTTTTTTTTATCTCAATCCTTTTTATACACGCGAGATAATAAGCGATAAAAATAATAATACGATTAGGTATATACAGGTATATCGTTTGTATACTATCATCATTCAAAGTTTAATCCGATTGGCACGACACTCTAATAAGAGAATATTTTTATTTAATCTTAAAATTGTCTAAACGATTGAGAAAATTTGAATTCGTTTAGATTATCTAAATAGATATCTTATATGTAAATTAACGAGAAATAGAGAACTACGATTGTAATGTAACGAGTTATATCAAAGATCGATCATTATGATATCATGCATGCTTTATTTTAAACGTATTGATCGTTTCCCTCATTATAGCTCATAGATAATACGAGTTAAGTAGATATACCAAGTTATTATGTTTACGATAATATTGTTATTACTGCATCGTTCGCATCTCATTAAATCTTCTTATCAAGAAAGATTTTTTTCTGTTTTTTTTCTTTTCAAATCGATACCCATAGTCAATGAACTCATAATTGTTGATGTTGTATACACATATTACATCAGGTCAGAAGATTTTTCTAGTTTGTTGAAAACGATAGAAAAAAGAAAAAATAGCTTTAATATTAATACTAAAATTTTTATCGACGACTAATCGAGTATCGATTATGCGAACGAACGTAAAAACAACATTGCAAATACGACTGTACCATCTTTTCTCTTATGAATATGATTACAAATGAAGAAAACTCGTATGATAGATGATTAAGTAAATATGTTAAAATAAATATGAGAAAAACCGGTTGTAGAGAGAAGCAATATTTGTTAATAGAAAATAAATGAAAAGAAAAAGAAAATTAAAACGAAGAAGATATATATATATATATATATTCTTCATTGATGATTATCATGACGATGCTGGCGTTTAAAACAAAAATATGTTCATACCTAATATATTCTCTCGTAATTATTAATTTCACGTTTAAATATAAATTTCACCTTTTCCATCCAATTAACAATTATCAGTTAATTAGTACACGAGTAATTAAATAAATCATTTTAGTAATGTCATTAAGAAATCATGTTATTCATAACAATGAATAATTTTCTTACGGTACAAATGAAATCGAAATTTAAAACGCCACCATAGTAACATTGAATAAAAAAGATATATTCACTTGAAGTATTCATATGTATATATATATATATATATCACTAAGAAGTCGCGTGACTCGTTTTGTTATTGCGCTCACGTTATATTCGATAGCGGTACAGGTGCATTGTTGTCTGGTAAGCGTCTGGACGAGATCGAGAATGGACGAGCGTTCGTCTCTTGAAAGATCGTAAAAACGGAAAGGTTCGCGTGATTATTCGTTTCTCCGTGTAGACCCTCCTTCATCTTCTTCCTCCTTCTCCTCCTCCTCTTTCTCCTTCTCCTCATCATCAACCTCCTTCTTCACTTCCTCCTATAGCCACCAGTTGTTTTCACTCTTCGACAGATGTTCCGAATATTTCGCAGAACACGCGTACGATAAAGTTTCTCGGGGGAGAAAAAAAGAGAAAAAAAGAAAAAAAAAAAAAATTTCTTTATAACTAAGTAATATTAGAACATTTTTCTATCGAAGGCCCAATGCCTTGGATTCTTTTATATTTTTCGTTTGTTTCTTTCCTCTCGTTTCTTTTTCACCCTCTCTTTGTCGTTTTCTTTTTCTTTCTTTTTCTTTCTTTCTTTCGTCTTTTCTTCTTTTTTTTCTTTTTTTTTGTTCTTTTTTCTTCTTTTCTCACCTGCCTCGCAAGGTGATAAAAAAAAAAGAAAAGATTACTTCTTTTTACGAAGTATAAAACAAATCCAATCGGTTAAATGCCATTGGTAAATGCATTGGTTAGAATTTCAGAACGATAAATCACATTTGATCTACGATGAAACGTAATTCTAATAATACAGGTACATAATTATTTGCAATTCATTGACGAAAGCTCATTGAACGAATTTACCAAAATTAAAATCGAAGGAAGAATGAATGCTCCGTGGAAATACCATTTCTATGGTGGTTTTTGATAATCAGGGTCATTCCAAAAAGATTGGAATTCGCAGGTCATTGTGTCGTTTGAAAATCGTCTGTCCAAGATCGTCGTAGGAAGGAGAGAGACAATCGAAAGGATTTTAAAGTGCAAGGAAGATAGAAAAAGACAAAGAGAGAGAGAGAGAGAGAGAGAGAGAGAAAGAGAGAGAGAGAAACTTGACTGGAATGTCGCTCGTAAAGACGAACGCGTTGCGTAATCGTTCGTTCTCTCTCGATGAGAGTCAGTTGACCAGCTGACATTCACTATACGACAGTAACTATATCGTTTTCATTCATGACTCTTTTGCTATCCAGGAGTGAGAATTTTATGTGAGCCTCGTAAACAAACACGCGTCATCTTCTTTCGAAGAAAAAGATAGAAAATAAAAAAGACAGACAGACAAAGAGAGAGAGAGAAAGAGAGAGAGAGAGAAAGAAAGAGAAACAAAGAGTGGGAGAGAGAGAGAGAGAGAGAACGCTCCCATCCACCATTTTTCTTTTTAGGACGGTTTCCGACAAAATACGCAAGATGGCGTTTCCTGTTCTCTTCTTCTCCCATTTCCGTTTTTCGATTTTACGTCTGGAATATCAATGAGATATATCCGATTGAATAGAAATTACAAATTTGTTTCTATAATTTATTATTAATCATTCATGACACTTTATTATAGTAAAAAGTTCTAATCTATTGTTTATTTTATATTATTGTACTTTTAATAATACTAATTTACAATTTTCAAGGATAAATAAACGATTACAATATTAAATGTATATATTTATTTTTATTTTATTAGAAATTAATAATCCAGAATAAATATCGTTTATAACGTTTTAACATTGTTGATTTCGATAAATCTTTCTTGGCTTATTGGAAAATTATTATTTATAGATAGGAGCTAACTCATCGTTCCCGGAAAAGGTGATTTAATCGTAGCGAAGTGAGTAGCGTCCGAAATTTGCCAGCTCACCCACCATCAAGAGCTCAAAGGGTTCCATATTTGTTTCCACTAATTTAAGGAACGGATGTTGAAAAATAATAATCACAAGATTTCCACGTAGCCGTGGAAATAAACGAATCTTGTTCGGTCACGAAAATTCTTGTTTTTACGTAGAACTTTGGTGGTATTACCAAGAATCGAGAAACAAAGAGAGAGAGAGAGAGAGAGAGAGAGAGAGAGAGAGAAAGAGGGAAAGATAAAGAGAGAGAAAATATTTTTCAGGAAAATATTTATCGAAACACTTTTGGGTGTAAAATTATGATCGCACGGAAACAAGATTGCATGATAAAAGGATTTCTTTTTCTACACTCGAAAAAATACGAGGACATCGTATTGGCTGTTGGCCAGGTCGTGATGAAAGCCAAAAGAAACGAGTTGCAGGAACATTATGCGAATCCTTCGATTTCGTACGTTCCTGCATCTTTAAAGGAAATCGTATCTAGTCAATGTCATTTTCGTGAAAAAAATTTTCAAACATTTAGATAGCTCAGTTTCTCTCTCTCTCTCTCTCTCTCCTTCTCTATTTTATTTTTCATGAAAGTTGAAATGAAGCAAAAGAGATAGATAGAAAAGAGAGAGAGAGAGAGAGAGAGAGAGTTTTACATGGCTTACCTTCGACCTTCGGATGATGAAAAGCGAGACACCGTTTCTCGAATATCATCCCCTCTACACTTCCTTTTCGATCTATCTTGAATGGATTTGACCTCCAGACGACATATCCATATACTCAACTCTTACGTATGTACCCACGTACTTCGATTTATAAGTTCTTCTTTCCACCAGCTTTTCTCGCAAATATTCAAATGCTACATGTATAGTAGATATATATATATATATATATATATATATATATATATAATGAGTGAGATATATATATATATATATATATATATATATATGCAGCTAAATAAGATAGATAAATATGTACAGGATATGTATCTACATAAGTTAAAAATTTTAAGAAAAGTTTTTTAATATTCTCTTAATTGATATAAAAAGCTATTTCTCAAACGTATAATCCATTAATAATAATTTTTTATGACAATAGAGGATAGTTTGCAAAAGTACATAAAAAAAAAAAAAAAAAAAAAAAAAAAAAAGAAAAAAAGGAAAAAAGGAAAAAGAAAAATCCAATTTTTATTATCCCTTCGTTGAATTTTCCCTCGACGTCGCACAGTTCAATTCGTCCTCGTTTCTTTTTCCCTTTCGATATTTTCCAATTTGATCAGATGCCCGAAAAGTTTGCTTAGAAATTGTCTAAGGAGCACAGACCAAAGGGGAGCTTTCGAATCTAAGAGAAAACATTTCTAAGATAAGATAGATCTAAGCAAACGATATCGTGGAGTTTCACTCGAGTACGGACTCGTAATACGTCGATTTAGACTTTCTTACCACTCGAGATAGATCATTGAGTGAGAGAAGTAGGGAGTCGTGACGATAAGGGAGGGGCGGAGATTGGTCCGGTGTGTCAGCGTACCGCGCGATCTAAAAAGCAACTTCAGAGATAAGGCGATATTGATAATGGCGACGGTCACGAGCGATCTCGTCGAATTTATGGTACTGAGCGAGCTGTTCTTCTGAGCTGTCTTGAAGAATAACAAAAAGAATAAGATAAAAAGAACAAAAAAAAAAGAAAAGAGAGAGAGAGAAAGAGAGACAGAGAGGGAGAGAAAGAAAAAGAGAAGTAAAAGAAGAAAAAGGAGAAGAAGAAGAAGAAGAAGAGAAAGAAGAAGCGAGAGAGAGAGAGAGAGAGAGAGAGAGAGAGAGAGAGAAAGAAAAAGAAAGAAGAGAAGAAAGTTGAAAGCAAAGATCGTATAAAGATTTTTCTTTCGTCCAAGCATCTATCTACTAAATAATTGCGTTATATGCGCTTCATTAGCTCCTTTCTTGGATTCAAGAATGAAGG